ACTGGAGCTTTGCCTAGTCTTGCGAACCTGGCTACCGCAGGGCGGTGAATCTGAGCAAGAGATGGCATCCTTCAAAATGTATGTTCACTTTGGCCAAAGGAAAGAAGAAGCACATCGATTACGTTGTAAGGTGGTGACTGCTGTGGCGCGGAAATTGTTTTTCAGCTGACCAATTGGGTGAACCTATCCCCTGCGGCTTGATTGTTTGACTGGATCAGCTTACACACATTATTTAATTTGACATCTGTATTTCAATGATCCGAGGGCCCACGTGAAAGCCAGATGGTGAGGCTTACCGACAGATCGTGCCAGCATAAGGAAAACAGCGGACAAGGGCGGCTTAGCATATGACAGCGGAGAGGAAGGCTCACAATGCTATAGCATGGCCGGTGTCGCGCGTAATTTGGAAGACGGCGATGGAAGACGGCGTTATAGCTTCCTCTAGCCCGGACTTACCGACCTAACAGTTTTTACGGCGCGCGTGCAGGAAGTGACACAATCTCTGCGGGCAACTTAATAAATTTAAACTTGTACTATTTCCTTCAGGGTCAAATAGAGGCGACGTTTGATGCTATGTGGAGTTCGGCAGGGCCCTCTAGTATCTGCATCGCTGGTGAACAACAAGAACTCAGTCCAACAAATTCTCAGCTTTGTGGGAACCACAGTTGCTAAACTTACCAAAAACGGCGAGAAGTCGCCGTCGCCACATGCCGAGCTCGAGCATACGCTAATTATCATACTTGGCAAATCATAAGAATATCAAGCTATCTTTGACAACGCTATTCCAGTGAGCCTTCTTCCGCGGCGTCCCCACAATAAACCATTCATAATGTCTCCCATCAAACTTCCAGCATAGCCGATTATTAAGCGCACCTTGACTTCCAAAGACAGAAGATTGCTGAGCTGGCCGATTGTTAAGCACCCCCGAAACTGGCGAACTATTCTCAGGAACTCTTTCGTGTGCTCTTCAATCATCGTGGTTCCAAAATTCGATGTGGCTTCCAGCGGTAGGAGGACATGCATGGTGTTTAACCATTGAGCGCTAATTGCCTCATGATCGTCCCCCACATTTTTATGAACCCTATCAAACCAACACTCAATATGTTTAGGGGAGCCAAATATCCCTTTAAACAGGGCCTAGGAGCAGGCATTCATCAGGTCAAATGGACAAGGAGAGCCGGTGGGGGGAACAACGCTCTCCTGTTATCGGCGGGGCTGTCCGAGTATGTGGCGCTGCGTTTCGCCCTTATCGGTGCCTCAGTCACTTTCCAGCACAGAGTGAATGTATTTTTCAAAGCTGTACTGGGTCAGGGTACAGTGTTTTTGCGAACCTGGTCAATGTGTGTAGAGACGGCTTCGAACTAGCCAGGCGCAATGACCTGAGACAGCTTCTCAGGACCTTCCTCAAGCGCCGATTTTATTGCATATTCTGCTTGTGCAAGTTCGCCAAACAGGAAATTACCAAGTTCATGAGCCCCAAGCAGAACAGTACTTTACGTACAATCAGGACAGCTCTACCTTACTGACGGCTCCGAAAAACTGGTGCTACCTAGTCAGCGCCGACAAAGTTTTGGCACTCACCGACCATCAGGTTCTGACTCACCTTGAGCGAATGCGCACAGTTTAGCCCCTCCGCAGCCTTATGGATTGACAGCGTGATTAACCAACGGTGAAAAGACATAACTACTTATCTACAAGAGGCACGGAGCCCTTGTACTGATTCGCTGTAAAAAAAATTCAATTTACTCCATCTGAGAATAATAGGGATGCTCCCCATTCACTGTGGAAAAAATTCAGTCTACTCTATCTGCGAATGATTTGGAATGCTACCCAGTATCTCACTTACGTCTTCAAGACAATTAGCTTCTCTTAAGTAGCAAAAAGTAAGCTTCAACGTCAGTGCAGGACAAAGGGACTTCAACGAGGCTCTATGCAGGTGACCGACGTATTCGTGTGCCACCCAGTATCGTCAATGTCGGTGATCAACCCGAAGATACTCTGCTGCCGACACGGCCATAACGGCTCAAAGAGCCGTAGATTATGCTCCTTTGGCAGTTCAGGCGGCAGCAGCACATGAAAGAGACCCAGCATAAACCCGAAACTAGCGACACCAAACTTCGCCATAGTGAAGGAAGTACCAACAGGAATAACACTTAAAGCCACAACAGCAGAAGCAGCGACGCAGCGGCTATCACAACGAGTGTGGCGGGAGCAGCAGCAATTATAACGAAAAGGCAGTTTCACCGAACTAATAGCGCCAACGAAGCAGCAGCTGCTGCAACCAAACTGTGAAAACACAGAAGCAGCACGAGCAGCAAGTGGAGTAGCGTGACTGAGCCACCCGCTGGTGGCTCCATCATAGCGGCAACAAGTGCGAGGGGACAAATAAAGATCTACACTGTCAGCCGGTAAAAGTACATCACCAACAAAACGTCGATCAAGCAGCTCAGCAGTGGAACGCAGAACAAGCACAACAGCACAAGCCAGCTGCAAAATCTAGTGACAGAAACTGCTGCTAGGTTTAGAATGATAGCCAGGATCAATTAGGATAGTAAATCCGTATGGAAAAAGTGGAAATAGTCGAGGAGAAAAACAATGCGCTAGTATAGGCAAGGCGGTAGAGGTATTGAAGATCTTGTGTACAGTGTTGCAGAAAGAGCTCCGGAGATGAGTAGACCCTGTGTGTTCTGATGAGCTGCGTAGGCACTAGCTACTCTGTGGTAGATCAGGGCTATATACATGGGCGGTACACAGAAGTTGGTAGCGGACCCACCGCTACTCAAGTATTCATCAAGACCTGAGGCTCTTCAAAGTTGCGTGTTTCATTATCTGTCCAAGCAGTTAAGGTAGCTGAAAGGGCATTTCGGAGAAATATCGAGGAAAGCCGACCACAGCACAGTACAAAAAACCAAGCAGGCGGCTCGTTGATAAAAACCTGGAAGTAGTGCTTCGCCGCTCGCACCTTTCTTGGGGCAGAGAGTGACGTACTTGCAGTACTTCTGCAGGGTCTTTTCATATTTGACTTTGCAGCCATTTGCGCCGCCACCCTGTGTACGCCAGCATGAGTGCACTTTCACCACGAAAAGGGCTTTCACGGTCGCCAAAAGTTGGCATACGCCACCGTAATTACCAGAATTCAACTGCCTCTATGAGGGTTTCCAGAGAATGCAGTTTTATGAGTTGCCTTTCTTTTGCCTTTCAGTCGCGACGGCTTGCCGGCGTGAACACGCTGTTCATGCCTTCAAGAAAGTTCTCCATGGTTGCAAAAGATATGAGCTACCCGGATACCTGTTCGAAACATTGCAGCGTTTTACCCTTCACCTTTCAGCTCTGCGAGTTGCTGTCGCCTTCCTTCGTGTTTTTGTCTGGTTAATTTTCAGTTTACCGAGACGCGTTGAGAGCTCTACCTAGCTTGTCGTTCCTTTGAGATGTTCCTGACCGGGCATTTGGTGTGGTGCCGTTCTGTATGATTGTTCTTGAACGTACCTGTAAGTTTCGGTAGTTGTTACAGCGTCAATTTTATGCACACGGTAAGATTCGGTAAGATTCCCCTCAGCATGTAGCTGCAAAATTTATAATAATAGTGAGACGAGAAGCACGCTAGGAAGAAATACAGCATGCGGTGTGGATCAGAACCAAGTTACGAAGGGTCGTAGTGCCATTTAGTAGAAGGCTAATGGAAGATTGCAACAAGAAATTCACTTAGCAGACCCTCAACTGACTAATTTTGCGTCCCTCCAATCCCTTCAGAAATTTTGCTGGTCTGTAAAGGGAGATTCACGGCAGGCAGCGGAGGCATCTCTGTATGCAAATACACTATACTATCACTACATGCCTCTACGAACAAACTCGCAAGTTCAAGTTGTTGCTGCTGAATGAAGCAGAGATGGAGCCTTCAATTTAAAAAGCATCCCTTAACTGCAGGCAATTGTCTGCTGAATTCCGCTGCAAAGCCGCTCAGTATTGCCCTTATGGCTTGTATTCAACGGTTCTCCCCAAACCCAGCGAAGTTTTTGCCCTGCCAAAGCAACTGGGAAGTATCAGTTTCTATAGAGTAAGACAAGTAAAATTCGTCCGCTGAGCTATTTTTCACAAAAGCTATCCCGATTTCCGTGACGTGCAACGAGTGATGCATATGGTAGTGCTTAGCGCCCGTAGGACGGCTACATAAAAGCAGAGTACCATAGAATCTTGTTTCCCATTGGCACGCGCATAGCCGTTGGCATGCAAATGCTTGCCGGATCCTTGTCTTCTGAAATTTCCCCAATTCCTGTTTTCTTTGGCTAGCTGCTTGCAACGGTGTGTAGCTCTATATTTTGTGAGGATCTATCACCCACAGAAGCACCATTCGAGCCCAATCAGGCTGGTAGCCAACAAATAATAGCGTCAGCTCGATAAAAGTGAACAGGCCATCTGGCAGCAGCGCCGCCCAACCCCGCCGGCCATTCGATCGAAGCGGCAGCAAGCAGCAGTAGCTACAAAATATCATCTGCATTGGCTGCTGCTGTGCCGACTACGGTGCGGTTCCTTGAGAAAGTTACTGTAAAATGCTGGAAAGACGACCTGTTGGGTAGAGCACGGCTTTTGGCCGCATACAGCAGGCGCAGAGAGGCAGGTGAGAGAGGCCGCCGCTGCTGGTCTGTGCCCAGAATTGAGTGGTTGCATCCGTGCACCGTAAACGGCCTTATCTGAAGGATAATTTAGAAAACAACTACGTATCTACATTTTCTCTTGAGTTTGGGACTGAACTGGGCCATACTACCGTGCTTCTAGAGTTTCCCCCCGGGAAGAGTGGCTGTGTGCACACGTGCTGCTTGCGTCCTGTACTATATTTCGCCGGCCTCTGCGCCGTGTACTTGATTACTGTGTCTAGATCCGTGCAGTAGTATTGACGGGGCTTCTAGTGAGAAGCTTGGGCATCAGCTGACTCCTTCCGAACCCCTGTGCGGTTTCCCCTCACCCCCAGCCCTGTAGTTCATACATCAACAACTGAAGTAGAGATGGCGGATCAGCTTACCGAGGAGCAAATCGCAGAGTTCAAAGAGGCTTTTAGCCTTTTTGACAAAGATGGAGACGGAAGTGAGCTGTTGCTTTGCAGTCGTTCCCCTGGGGGGACCTGAGCTGAGCTGCTGAGGATGCTTTGCTCCCGTCGTCTCAGTTGAGCCGCCATTCAACTTTAACTCACTGTCCGTTCATTGAACTCGAAAGGGAATAATAGGCACAATCTGTGCCGTTTGCCTACGGGGTCTCCCTCCGTCGCTCCGTCGGGGTTGACGCGGTGACTCTACACGCGGCAGGCCGAAGGGGCAGTTGGCGTGGATTTAGTGTCTGGAAATGTTTTGCGAGTGCTACCCACTTCTCCCTGTTAACAGAGTGCAGTGGGGAGTGCTGTGAAGGAATTATCAGGGGTGCTTGTGCACTGCCTTTGAGGGAAGATGCTTGGCGTCTCGTTGTGGCTGCATGTATTTTGTGCCATTTGATGGGCTGGTTGGGATCATGCAGCAGGGGATGCAGGGGAGAGGCGCGGGGTTTTTTTTCCGGGTGCAGTGTAGTGCGTGGCATCGTGCCCAGTGTCTTGTGTCTTACGGGGCGCATGCGTTTGCTGCGTGTACAGCCATCACAACCAAGGAGCTTGGGACTGTCATGAGGTCTTTGGGTCAAAACCCGACAGAGGCTGAACTTCAGGACATGATTAACGAAGTCGACGCTGACGGCAACGGTAGGTGCCAGGGAGTTCTGCATGCACCGTCGGTACCGATTCATGCACCGATGCGGAGCTGTGTCCGTAGGCGTTTTCACGTGTTTCTTGTAAGCTCGAAGCCGTGGCGGTATCAACATGGATTGCAGGAAATCCAAAGGATTGTGTGATTGTGGGCGTTCGCACTGCACAGGCACGATCGACTTCCCAGAATTTTTAACTCTGATGGCCCGCAAGATGAAGGACACGGATTCAGAAGAAGAGCTGATTGAGGCCTTTAAAGTTTTTGACAGAGACGGAAACGGCTTGATCTCAGCGGCAGAGCTGCGCCATGTCATGACGAATTTGGGGGAGAAACTGACGGACGAGGAAGTTGACGAGATGATCCGGGAGGCAGACATAGACGGTGATGGTCAGATCAATTATGAGGAGTTCGTGGGGATGATGCTTGCGAAGTAAAACGTTTTCAGTTCCCCTAACACAACAGTACTCAGGGGGCACCACGTGGCACCCAAAACAAGCAAAGCGGAGGCCATGTAAACAGCTGTGTGCATGCCTCCGCCGCCTCGTAACGTATGTGAGGAAAGTTACGCATTGGAACCTTTTGTGGGTCCAGGGGACGGTGTTTTCTATGGGGTCGTTTAAGTGCCCGCAGCGGTTGCCCTTGCCGCAGTGTTCCGTTATCACTTGCAGCTAGCTGGTGGGTTTGGGGCCATTCCAAGCACAGGCAGGCGTGCCGAGCTGGCCTGTGGCAGGCTGGCCGGGCGCTGGCGGGTGGTACGACTTTTCCCCTGCACACTCTTAAACTTTTTGGCAAGAGGGTGACATTATGGGAATTGGAGTTGATGCTGTAGCGCCATCTCCGTTGGCAGCTCCAGTGCTCTGGCCCAGACCTCTTGCACACCCCGATTTGCGGGCCCCACCTTCATGCTGTAATACAGGGTTGTCGTTAACTTGAAACGGGGCCCCAAATCTCAGGAGGCTCAATACGAGGGACAGGACAATGGCGGCTGACACGCTTGGTCCGTCTTTATTGCTTGATGCCAGAAGGCTTCCGTGCGTACATACTAGTGGCATACTAGCGCTCCGCCGATGCAGAGGAAACAGCGGTAGACGCAGAAGTTCAGCTACTACTGAGACACAGCTACTGCGAAATTGGGAAGCTATAGTTTAGAACTGTATGCTGCCGTTTCACAGACAGTGCCGCGAGCTTGCAGACGCACTACAAGTGCACAGTGGGCAACGGCTGGCTCAGCCTTCGGCGCTACGCATGTACGATGCATGCATGTAAGAAGCATATGATTTAAAAGACTCGAGGTTTTTAGGGAAGAGTGACGCACACGGCCCGACAGGCCGTACGCGCGCACCCCTTAGAAGCGCAATTCGGTTCTAAATGTTCGACACGGTGACCTCGACTTCGACTCCGGGGTCAATGTTGATCGACGTAATTTGCCTGACAACATCGCTTGCTGAGTGCAAGTCGATCAAGCGCTTGTAAATGCGCAGCTCAAACCTGTCGTAGGTGTTTGTTCCTGAAGCCCAAAGCGCACGACCAACACAAGGGTTCAGGTGCGGCAAGTCAAGCGGGAGTCATACATAAAATTTCCTTCGAACAGAATATTCCCAATCCTAATGGAACAGAGACAGCGGGTTGAAGAAGTCATGAAGTAGGTGTGTGCATGCAGCACTGCAATTCCTCAAATCTTACCCTCTCCGCATGGAGACTTCCTGGTGGTCACACGCAGGGTTTTGACAGGCAGGCGTACTGGCCCATTTGTCTGTAGCTTTCTCTGCTTCGCCGCGCCAATAAGCTCCGAGCATACTGAGAATCAACATACAAAAAGGAGAGACGAAACAGGGTTGGTGGCTGCAAGCGAACTCTTCTGAAGAGAAATCCCCACAAGAAACGAAAAACGGATAGCCCCCAAGCTGCCGCTGCAAAGAGCCCGAATTGACTAGAGCTGGGCACCATAAAAGGGCTTTCCACAGCCGCTATATTCGACACCAGCGATTGCAAGACAAGCGTCTCGAAAAAGAAGGGATAGACCGATCTGCTGGACCCCTCTATCTTCCTTGCAGCAATTACACAAGAAAAATGCGCCTCTAAATGTTGCACTGGTGCCACAATTTGTACGGAGAGGGCCACCGTGAGATAGGCTTCAGCGGCTTCGACAGGCGCATGTGGCGGTTGCGCGTTTGAAGTGCCATGTATCAAGAACACAACGGCTTCAAGATCCCCAGGAAAGCACTAATGTCGTTCTTTCTTTATTGCTCACCACGCTCAATGGATTTCAGATCCTTTGAGGTAAGCGTGATGCGTATCCTATGGAGCCGCTGCTCCTCCCCCTCCAACCCCTCCTTGAGCGCCTTGCTCATGCTGGCGGCTAAAGAGGAAAAAGGATGTATAAATTAAGAATCACAGACCCAAAATACCGCCACAACAGGAAAATGCGCCTCTCCGACTCCCAGGGACGGCCAACTACTCCCCACATGAAAGTCGTTCTGGCTTCCAGCAGCGGCAGCCCCACTCTGTCATGGTGCTCACGCAACCACTGCCCCACTGCTGCAGCAGCCCTGCGACTTTGCGCAGCGTTTGGCTGCAGCCCCAAAAAGGATAAAGTGAAGAACAGCGGTGGGGCGCCGCCGCTGGACCCCGTACCCCCACGCTGCTCGCATGCTTTAGCGACTTCCGTCCCGTCTCCTTTGCACAGAGGCCCTCTCTTTCATGGTTTTCGGGACCTGTCCTGTTCTCTTTGTGCAATTGAAGTACCGATAATCGTGTAGGGAAAGAAGATGGCGGCAGAGGCGTCCCAAAAGAGGCGGCCAACAAAGGGCACCAAACAGCCGGTACGGCTGTATGTCCGCGGGATCGTTCTTGGTTATAAGCGGTGAGGCTTTTTCTTGACTTAATTTCTCATTGTTCCATTTTCTGCGTTCCCGGAAAGAACCAACGGGTAGCCTGCAGCGGGGGCCCCTTGGGTTTCAACCATTCAGTGGCAAGCGACGGGACTCTTGCCAATGCTCCACACTGGACTTTCTTTCTCCTTCCTAGTAGCTACGATGTATTTCGGTGGGGGTAGAGTGACGGTAAGGAGCCCCGGTGTGCTCAACTGCACGGTTTGGCTGCTGCAGGTCTAAGGTAAACCAGACGCCGTCTCGCTCGCTGCTGCAGCTGGAAAACGTGAAGACGAGGAAGGACACCGCCTTCTACCTGGGCAAGCGTGTGGCCTACGTCTACAAGGCCAAGACAGAGAAGAAGGGAACCAAGTTCAGGGTGCGCCAAGTTGAGAGCCAGGGTCCCGGCAGTTGCAGTCCGTAGCGTGGGAGTTCATGAGCTGCTCACTCCGCACTGCGTAAACGGCTCTTACTACAGTGCTATCCAGTCTAAGTGCTGCCCCCAATGTGACTGTGTTTGCTTTCTCAGACAATCTGGGGGAAGATCTGCCGCCCCCACGGCAACAGCGGTGTTGTCCGTGCGCGCTTTAGGAAGAATCTGCCCCCCAAGTCCTTCGGCGGCCGTGTCCGCGTCTTCTTGTACCCGTCCAACATATAATCTCCCCCGGCCAGCCGCGGGGGCTGTCGAGCTATGGAGGAGCTGCAAGGGGGCGCTATGAGCGCCCGAAGCAAACTGCTGGACTGACGCTTTTTCTGCTCTGCTAATTTTTACATTTTGCTCGCGTTTCGTTTACACCTAGGCCCTTATAAATTGGCATAAACTCGGTGGTAAACGTATAAGCTGTTTTAATGACTTAGTTTCGGCGCGTCAGACCACATGCAGAGAACAGTACTTAGAGGGATCAGCGTGCGCGGGGAAAGCTGTCGATTGCAAACAAATCAGGAGCTAGCCCTGGAACAAAAGAAGCAAACTGTGCATCTCGCATGCACCTCAGCGTGCTCATAGTGTGACTTTGCGCATAATTTGCCTCATTTCGTCCCGAAAGGCCTCCGCAGCTTTCCCCGGGTCCTGCACAGCAAAGTTGCACGAAACTTCAACACATGATTGCCGAACAAATCGGCGCATTTGTTGAAACTCTGTAGCGTGGGGCCATTTGCAAGACTGTATTCACCTTGGCTTCAGAGATCGCACGCCCTACGTTCACAATGAGCCCGAGTCCGTCCTGCCTCAGACCTGCAAAGGAAAAGCTGCGCAGAGCTGACAGAGCTGCATGCTGAGCTGTGCGGCAGCAGCACTTTTTGCGCAAAGTTGCGGTGACAAATTTATGGAGGAAGGGCAAACTCGCAGTCATGGCACAACAGCTTATGTGTGTAAAGCTTGCTTGCCAGGCCAAGCCATGTGCAATGCAGTCACTCCCCGACACAGCTAAGCACAGATGCACGAAGCCTTCTCCCCAATTCCGCTTTTACAGTATCAAAGTTACATTCAAAATAAACTCGGAATACCTGCTTCTATTGTTGCCGCAAGGTCTCCCCCTTGAGCGCCGATGCCCGGGGAAAGGAACCACAAGTCAGGAAAGGCAGATCGAATTCTCTTCATGTCTTTTGGGTACGTGGAGCCGACCACGATGCCCACCAATCCCCCCTCTTTGGAAAGCTCAGGTTCTGAGCACAAAGTCGCGAAACGGCAGTGGTGTCAGGGGGCGGTAATTCCAGTGTGCCTTTTAGAGCGTTAGGCCAGCATCTCCTTTTGTGTTTTTAGTTTAAAAAAAGGGAATATGTCGAGTGGACGCGAGAGTACCCCTCTGTCTTCGGGCTCTGTCACACATGTGAGCCACCTCCATGAACACCTCCACGGGAGCGCCATCCTCCTTGCCAGCTGCTGCCCCAAAACCCTCTACTACAATGAAACCCTGCAAGTCTGAACTTCGCGGGTTTGAACTCCGGCAGACAACAAATACTCCTTTCCCTTTCTCCTTAATGAACGGAAGGATCGCGCCTTCACCCAGGTAAGGGTCTAAAGTCACGCAGTCAGCCTGAGATACACTGGCACCAGCTCGAAACAGTACCTTTTGCTGCTGGGCAAGGCTGTTGCGGCGAAGAAACACGAAAGAGGCTACACAGAAACATGAAAAAAAAGCAGTTCCCACGATTAACGTGGGAAGATGGGAAGATTTCTGATCTTTTCGCCTGCCAGTTCAAGCTGTTACGCGCATTTTTCATACAGTGCAGCGTAGGATCTTCCAGTAACTTTGTTTAGCAGCTTTCCGCAAATTGGAGTGCATTGTTGAGCTGATGATGCTGCCGAAAGCACATCAGACTTTTGGCACGTACATTGTAGGCCGAATAGAATGCACTTGCCATCGCCTCAGCTGCTTCATCTGTCGCGGCTCTTTTGGCGTCAAGGATAATCGGAATATCTTCCGGTATTTCTCTGCAAATTCGTTGTAGAACCTGAGCCACGACAGGAGCAGCCTTTGTCGGAGTTTGTACACGAAAAAACTTGAATGAAACACTTTGTGGAAGGACCATACAGTTCGTTTTGTCTTCCTTAAACAAGCTGCAGCGAAACAGAAGATTGGGATGAGATGCCGAAAGGCTCAAAATCTGGAAGAGCGAAACGCACCTCCATTCCCCCGGATCCATATTGTTCGAAAAACGCCACATTGGGCTTAAAACAACAGACGAAGTCTGACGTCTTTCGTATAAGGCAGACACATTTTTCGTGCAAATCTTCTAGCAGCTGCTGTCGATTGAAACCACGTAGATCGTCAGTGGTAGGGCACGCGAGAGGGGGGTCTATCCCTACACAAAGTATTGTTCCATGTTCCTTTATGCGTCGAGTTAACTTCTGCAGGAAAGAGCAAGTCATTGCCAGACTCGGAGGGCTAAACCCTGAGCTCAACCGAGAACACGAGCGCTGGCACTACAAGGCATGTGCAGACTCCACGACTCTGGCTGATGAGCTTTATGACCTTCGCCTTCCAAATTTGCCAAAAATGTATTTTTTATTTCCCCGAGGAAGATAAAAAACCAGCGATGTGACCCGAGGGGAGCCAGTGCACGTGGCCCACCAGGGGCCCTACAGAACACGAGCCCCAAGGGGGATGCGCGACTACTTTTGGCGAAATATAATATTTTCAACATGCTGATTGTGCTTTTTGTCGATAAATACACGCATTGTTGTAGCACAGGCAACTTCTCGTTGGACCTTCCGCTCCAGCTTAGTGCCACTGGCAGAGTGTCTGGTAACGGCAAGTCAAGCGTTGCACTAAAAACTCCAGCACTAGCTACTCTATGAGCAATGTGGCGTTACTAAACAGTAAGCTTGCCAACACGGAGCAGCTCAGCCGACTTTCAACGCCAGAACCCCCGGACCCACTACACTGCAACAAGCCCCTACTTGTACTAGATCGAAAGAAGGAACCAGCAAATAACGTCACCAGCCAGGCTAGCAGCAGCGCGCGCAAGCCCCCCATTGGAGTGCCGAGCACCGTGGCCTTGCAATTAAAATACAATTAAGACCAAAACGGTTCTAGCGGCGTCTGCAATACCTTCCCCCAAGCTAGGCATATCGAAGGACGCCTCCCCTAAATTGAGTTCAGGAACAGCAGCAAAAACACCATCAGCAGCACGAGCAGCAGCAGAACAGCAGCAAAAAAAAAACAGGACCTGCTATGCCACCACCTTGGCGGCGTCACAAGGCCTCAACGTGCCGCCTGGTCCCCGCTGCACCCAGCAGGGTCGAGGGGAGAGAGAAGGCGACAGGAACAGCAGCATGCACCAGCAGCAACACAACAGCAATCAGCAACAGCAGTGAGAGAAAAATTATTTGAAATATTGGGAAGACTAAGGGCCGCATGCGCTCGGCATGAGGCCCAGCAACTGCTTCTCTTTCTGGCCCTTCCTTCCTAACCCCCACAGATACTCACGCCCCAGATAGCATTTCTCCAAGCAACAGAACATCACTCTTAAAGTGCTGGTGCTTAAGAGAGGTCTGCGTGCCGTCCAGCAGGTCCGCACACTCGCGACACCCTCGGATCGTAGCTATTCTCTGCAGCAGCAGCAATGAGAGCAGCCAAAGAGCCACCGGCAAATGCCGCCCGTTGCCTGCAGCTGAAGCCTCTCCTGATCCTGCTCTGCATAAGGCTGCGGCGCCTTGCAAAGACGCAGCTTGCTTTTCCATTGACTCAGCTGTAGTGGTTCAGCAACTGAAGAAAAGCAAGACAGCAGGCGGAAGCAGAAAAAAATAACAGCAACGACACGCCAACCCACTATGAACAGCGTGCCTAATGCTAGCTGAGACCAAATTTCGAATCAAATGCGCGCCAAATGTTTCAAAAACAGGGCAGAAGAATTGCAATGTAACAATACCTGGGCCAGCCACTGCGCTTTCGCCCCAACGGCGGCATTGCCCTCCTCAGTCGCAAGACGTTCAGCCTCTCTCTGCAACTGAAGAACGAAACTTGCAGTACTCAGATGACCTCCCAAAGTCCGACCAAATGTCGACAAAAGATCCCTGAACACGGCAAAACGCCACAGAAAAACACGAAGAGCTAACGCTCACATACGTCCAGACACGACAAGGTACAAAAACATCAGTTCCAAGACACTTTACTCCTCTTTAAGAATGCAAATTCAAAAGAAGACTTCAAAAGCTAAAGGCGAAGTATCGGAGCCCAGACACTTAATGTGACGTGAAAACAAGTGGCCAGCGCACCCTGTAAGCTCCAGTGCCTGCTGCACCATCTGTGCAGATCCGTGCACCCAAGTCGGAGCCTCGGCAACAGCCTTTACTACTTGCAGCATCCCATTCACTTCTTTGCGCAGGACCTCCTGCAATTGTGCTTCTTTTAGAGCGTACACACAACTAGCCAGCGCCTCAAGAGTTGCCGACCGCAGCTCATGCACATACCAAATCCACTCCTCGTTGAGCTGTGCAAACACCCTCAAGCGCAAGCACCGAATCATATGCCGAGATACTGTAGAAACAAACAACTGTCTCTATGTTTGTACACGAAGGGAAACTGGAAATTCACTCTGCGCGCTGCGGGTGCAAAAGGGCCAAAGGGAACAAAAGGCACAGAATCAACCGATAATGCGCCGTAAGCAGATGCATGAGCTTTTCTCCCATTTATGCCATAAATGAGGCTGATCAGCATGCAAACAACAATAGCGGCCCGACTAGCAGGAAGGCACAATCATTCGACCTACTTGCCAGTTGGGAGGCCCCGCATCATAAGGGGTTACTCCCGCCTGTACGAGCAGTTCAATCAGAAACGGGGCGAAACGCGAAAAGCTGGCGCCCCCAAGGCTCAGGGCGACATCCCCAACTGCAACAATAACAACTGGCTTGAGAGACCTGTCGACTGACGGGGCCTGCACAAACAGGCACAAGCAAGTCCAAAGTCTGTACGCCTGACGGGCCAATGTACACACAAAAGAATCTGGCATGCTGTATTCTAAAAAGCAAAACGCATGGCGTCCATAAACACACACCAACGCATATAATGACTCAGAGTTCAGGTATGGGGTGAGCATACTTTCAGCAGCTGGTAGAACTCGTGCAGAAGCGCATCTGAGAGGCCCCCAAATTCCGCCCCAAGTGCACGGCTGAGATCCCCAACGAGCTCTATGCATATACGCGCAGCCTGCAACTCATCTGCGCTGCTGCTGTCATTAGTTGGCGTGCTGGCCGTTGCAGCTACTGCCGAGGCCGCTTCTGGCGTGTATTGATGCTGCATTTGCAGAACTAACAGGTCAGCCACTTCACCCGCGAAAGGGGAAACCGCGGGGCCCGAGGCGTTGATCAGCGCAGATAGTGCAAGCAGCGCATCACAGACGCTCGGCTCCGAGCTGACGATAAACCCATGCACGTTGCTGGGAGCAGCACTGCTCTCTCCTTGAGAGACTTGCAAACCATGTGTAGGTCGCTGGAAAACCTGTAGTCAGATATAACAGAAAAACGCAAAACGCTCACAAAGAGCTACAGACGCCACAACATGTGACACCGATAAGACCTCGTGGCTCGTCCCAAGGTCGAGCAAAGGCCGCAGCTCCCGCGGGTAGGACAGGATAGAAGCATCGAAAGGAGAAGCAAGCTCTCGCAGAAATGCAATGGATGCCACACAACCCACCTGCTTGAGAGTGTTCCACAGAGTTCCAGCGACAGGCTTCACTTGATCTCCCAAACGCAGGCACAGAATTTGAATGACGCCGCATAGCATCCCTGTAACGAATGCAACGAGAACAAACCTCCAGATCGCACATTTACAACCGTAAACACTCAGTATGTCAGTATCTATATAGTTCCAAGTGACACTCGCAGAGCTGCGATGTCCTATGCAGGTCAATACACAATTTGGCACAGGAGTGAATGAATAGAATGTTCGATATGCTGGAAACTTGTGGAGAAGGAAAGCATGTGGAGAAACAGGCTCACCTTGGCGTTGTTTTGTCTGCTCTGTCTGCTCAAAAGAAAAAGATTTCCTCAACTGGCCCTCAAAGTGGTCGAGAAGCGAAAGTAGATGATTCCAGCATGCGCTGCCTGCAAGTGCAATTCAAATCTTAACTAAACTCTCTCCTACATAGCAGTAAGTGCTTTAAATGTGCACAGCCAGCTGGACTGGAATGCGATTTGCTGGCTTGGCGATTATGTGTTCGGGAAAGCTAACCTGCATTTTTAATCAACGCCCCCATACAGTTAAATGCCGCTTCACGCAAATTCTTCTCATCCTACGCGTCCAAACGCACCCAAGCAGGCCTTTCCCATGAGCACAGGCACTGGCTCGCAGTCAATTTCGAACAGACAAACTGCAGCTGACTCACAGCATCCGGCCTTTCTGAGACACTTAAAAGGGCTTCACACAGCTTTGGAAAGATCGGATCTAACGGCGTCTGGTCTTGCTGCGTGGTGGCTTCTCCTTGATAAGCCGCCCTGCCTTCCGGCGTGTTGATGTTGTCCGCTAGCTCGTGCAGCATCCAGCAGATGTGCACTGCCACCCTAGGCCGGTCTGCCAGTCGTTCAACAATGGCAAGGAGAAGCTCTCCGCTGTTGTTGTTTGGGGAAGTGGTCGATGACACGTCGGCAGGAGGGAACAGATGCCGCAGCACAATAGGCGCGTGTTGCTGGGCCGCCTTGCCGAGGGTCCACGCTGCGCTGTCTCGCACGGCCACAGAAGCATCTGAAGCCACTGCTTTCACCAGCATTGGAAAAGAAGTAGCCACATAGGGGGCCATAGCCTCGGCGCTTGGCCCCTCCATGACGCAGCCGAGAGCTAGCAGCGAAGCCTCTCTCCGACGCCACTCAGTGGATAGGAAGTTTAACTGCACAAATTCTAGCACGGGAGGCAGTATTGCATCTTTCACTACCTGAATTCACGCAGCAGCACATCAAGCAGGCATTCAAAACACCCCTGTGGGAGAACTTGAGCCAGCTACAGAGGCGGGGTGAATTCATAAGAGGGTGAACCTGCACCCTCCACATAGGACGCTCCTCATCGATAGAGTAGCGTCCTATATTTAATAAGTAAAAATGTAGATTTTAATGGAAAAATAAAAGTGAAAATGTCAGGTTAAGTGGTGAACCGGCACCCTCGCTATGATGCACTCCCCCCATTCCTTGTCCACAACAATAATCTGCAAACCCAGTACAGAGTGGAGAGCAAAGCTACGAGTCAGCCAGCCTCTGGAAACCACAAGATTGCGGACCTGTGCGCAGAGGCCCAAACAAATAGCGGCGGCCATAGCTGGAGTCCAGCTGTCATCGTCGTCCTCGTCTTCTGCTGCATTCAAAAGTTGATTGAGGAGTAGGGGGAGAAGGAAAGGCGCAGCTTGTTCCATAATGTTCAGAAGAGTCCACCGCGTCGACTC